GCCACCATGCCCCTTAACCGCGACGGCATCTTGCTGGCGGCCAGCGGGTTGCAGGCGGCCCCGCGCCAGCGGTTCGGCGTCACCGCTTCCCGCAACGCCCTGCGGCTGGAGATCCGCGGCGTGGGGCCCCAGGACAGCGGGGAGTACTGCTGCACGGCCACCAACGCCTACGGCAATGCCAGCGCCGCCAAGCCCTTCCTCGCCCGTGGTGAGTCCCGCTGCTCCCGGTGCAAGGGGGTTGCCAAGCTCCTGGCCCTGGGTCTTGGGTGTCGATGAACCCCCGGGGCTGTTGGGCTCCTGAGAGCTGGAGGGACCCACGTGGCACTGAAGGACATCGGTGTCTCGGGGACCGTGCGGTGGCAGTGCCCTCCCTGCAGCCCTTCCCCACCTTGGGGGGTCAAAGCTGCTTGCAGAGCTGGAGGCCATCCTGAGTTGCTTTTTTTTTTTTTTTTTTCAAAACACCACAAAATCTGTAGCAACGTTTGTCCAAACTGTTTCTTCCCCATTCCCACAAGCCCCTGGCATGCACAGCATCTGGGCACACAGCGGGGACTGGCTCCTCCTGCTCCATCCCCTGACCCTCTGCCCCCTGCGGCTCCCCCAGCCCTGATGGTTCGGGGTGACAGAGGCAGCAGCCATGGACAAGGAGGAGAGGAAAGCCCCCCAAACCCATGTCCAAGAGGATCCTCCCTTAGGATGTCAAAAGAAACCAAAATGGACCTCAGGGTCCAATTCCAGAGAAAATAAACCTGAGGTTGGGTGCCAGAGTGGGTAGTTGGGGTCCATTTCAAGTTGGCCAAGATGCCTCCAGCCCAGCCCATCTCCTGCCAGCGGGCAGAGAGGACCGAGCCCGTCCTGGGAGCAATTGTCTCTGCTGGTGGCAGAGACCTGGGATGAACAGCTCAGGTGGAGACATCCCAGCTGGTGTCCAGTGTCCCCAGGGAACGTCACCCACCAAAGACGCAGTCACTGATGCCACGGGCTCCTGCAAAGGAGCGGCTGCTCAGGCCCTGCCTTAGAGGGAAGCTGAGCATGGGGTTTTGGCCAGACGGAGCCAGGGGAAGGGCACAGGTTTGCAGCAGAGGTTTCCCCTCCCTCCCTGACGTCCCTCTCCCATCCCTCCTTCAGCTACAGAGGTCCTGATCCAGCCCTCGGCAGAGGTGCGGGAAGGGGCAGCCGTCACCCTGACCTGCTTGGGGGCTCGGGGTGCGGCGGAGGAGACCCTCTACACCTGGTACAGGAACAGCAAGTGGCTGCGGGAGAGCTCGACCCCAACGCTGCGCTTCCCCTCCGTCCGCGGCGAGGACGCAGGCGCTTTCCAGTGCACGGTCCGGAGCAGCAACGGCAGCGACACGTCGGCGGCCGTCCCGCTCCGTGTGCTCTGTAAGTCCTGCCGGGGGGATCTCGGGGCTGGGAGGGGTGGCCCTGCTGTTCCCAGCCCAAGGTTTCCCCCATCACCACCGAACACGGCCAAGGAGCTCTTGGGCAGAAATGTGGAGAGGGCGGAAAATTCCCTTTTGCAGGTAAATCTCTGAATTTCGGGGAAAAGAAATTCAGAGAATCCCAAAATTCCCAAGAACTAAAGAGTTTTAAAAAGTCCCGTGAAATTAAATTCAATTTCTCAGAACAAGAAACGATCCCTGTGAAAAATACATTCCAGTTGGATTTTGCCTTCCAAATATTTTCTGGGCTGTAAAATAAAATCTTCCCTGATACCAAACCAGGAAAAATACCATTAGGAAGTTTCAGTCCTGACCAAATGGCATTTTTCTGTAGTCGTGGTAGGAAATGTGCATCTCAGCTGGACCCCAGCTGCCCGAAGCACCGGGGTCTCTGCAGATCCACCCCAGGGTTTGGGGTCGGGCTGGACACCTGCACCCAGACCCTGAGCTCGAGCCAGGCGACAGCAGAGGTACCTGGGGCACGCAGGTCCCTTGCGGAGAGCCGGCAGATGTGGGACCCTGGGGTCTGGCAGCTGGGGGGTCATAGGATGCCCAAAAGCTGCTCAGGTGGTACTGGAAAGCAGCAATCCCTCGGGTTCTTGGGGTTCTCCCAAACTCAGGGATCCATAATCTCACCAGCGGTCTTTTAACCCCGCAGTCCCACCGAGGCAACCGGTGATGAGCTCGTTCCTGGAGACCCAGGGCAGGCGCCTGGGCACCATCCAGTGCACCGTTGAGAGCGACCCAGAGGCCAACCTGGTCCTACGGAGGGGAGAAGAAGCGATAGCCTGCACACGGGGCTGCCCCGCAGCCCCCAGCCCCAGGGTCCACGCCACCTTCTCCTACAACAGCCTGAAGGTGGAGATCCGGGAGGTGGTGCTGGAGGACGAGGGGACCTACGTGTGCTGGGCCGGGAACCCGCAGGGCAATGCCAGCGCGGCCATGGACTTCAGGGCTGAGAGTGAGTGGGGCGGTGGGGGCAAGGGCAGGATAGAGCCAGATGCCACGCATCCCCACAGCGCCTGGGAAAATCCTGGGAGAGGGAAGGGTGGGAAGGGAGTGCCAGGGAAGCAGACAAGCTCAGGAGATCAAGGGCGATGGTGGCAGAAGGACAGAACGAGCAGAAATAGGCCAGGTGCCTGGGAAATCCAGGGTATCAAAAAATGTCTGTCCCAAAAGAGCTGCTGTGCACGAGTCGCCTGGTGCCAGGGAGGAGCATGAGCGGGGTTAAAGTGGGGGCTGCTACAGGAGGGGTGTGCTGGCCCCTCCAGCCCCTCCTGGTGGGTTTGGAGGGTTCCCCCATGGCCGTAGTGAGGGCTCCAGCTCCTGGGGGGGATTCACTGCTGACCCCCGCCTGGGCCAGACTGGGGATGCTGAACAAAATGCCGCTGAGGGGGTTCCCTCTCCTGCCGGCACATCACCCCTCGGCTGGCGGGGCGCTGGGTGGCCGGTACCCCACCGCAGGGAGCTGTTCCCGTCATGACGTTGCAGGATTAGCCGGCATCTGCCTTCTCCTGGAATAACTGCAAAGTCACTTGCTAGCTGGCCGGCCTCGGGGCGGGTTTATTCAGCCTAATGCTGCCGAGGCGGTGCTGGCCATCCTGGCTACCGTCACGCCGCAGCCTGTTTGCCTCCTGCCTCTGCCCGCAGCTGCCAGCATCGCAGTGGCTCCGTCCTCCCATGTGCTGGAAGGCCAAGCCGTCAACCTGACCTGCCGGCTGAGCAGCGACTCCTCGGCTCTGCCCAACTTCACCTGGTACCGAAACGGGCAGTGGCTCGCCGAGGGCTCGGCTGCCTCCCTGGTGTTTCAGCAAGTGGCCAGCACGGACGCAGGTCTCTACCACTGCAGAGCCACCACCGCCGGCGGCAGCCGGAGCTCCCCCGCCGTCTCCCTGGACGTGCTGTGTACGTACGGGCTGCTGTCCATGCCAGCGTGCCCGCTCTGCTCATGTGCATAGCTGTGCCTGGGGTCTGGGCAGAGCTGACGTGGGTGCACGTGTGGATCTTTGAGTACAGATCTACGTCCCGGGCCTTCCTCCCGTGGGCGTCTGTCCTTCCGTGCCGCCGTCTGCAGCATCCTTACTTTCCTATTGAGCAAGCACGCACTTAACATGTGCATGGGGATGTGGGTGTGATCCTGCGGGTGTAAAGCCTGTATGCGTTTGAGGGCCGCTGTGTGGCATAGCACACCCCGAAAGGCCCACAGGGTGGCTGCTGTGGTGGGGACAGTGTGGTCACCCTGGGGACGGTGTGGGCCCCCTGGGTCTGGCAGGGTCTTGCCCAGCAGAGACCTTCTCTTCTTCCCCTCTTCTTCCCCTCTTCTTCCCCTCTGGAAGATGATTTTCCCTCTCTTTCTGGGAGGCCACAGGCAGCTGCTGCTTTCCAGAAGCTCCCGTGCTGGGTGCTCAGTGGCGAGCAACCCTCCCGCCCGGCTGGCCCTGCACCGGGGCGAGGAGCTGGTGGCCGCCAGCGATGCAGGGAGCAGCCCCAGCCCGCGGGTCAGTGTCTCGGCTGCCCCCAACACCCTCAGGGTGGAGATCCAGGAGGTGACACCGGCGGACGAAGGCAGCTACCGCTGCACCGCCACCAACGTGCATGGCACCGCGGCCCGCCGCCTGTACTTCCACGTGCAGAGTGAGTACCGCGCACCGTGCTCGGGCCCCGCCGGCGGGGTGGGTGGCACAGGGAGGAACGTCGGGCGGTGGCCAGGAGGGAGCTGACACAAAATGTGACCTTTTCCGCCCGGTTCCTGCCTGCGTGCCGCTGTCTGGCGGGACCAGTGCATGCTCCGGTGCTGTCCCACGGTGACAGCGGGGCAGAGGAATGTCACTGAGCATTGCGGGCGATGGCCAGGTGACCCAAAGTGACTGAGCTGCGGTGGCTGGCTGTGATCCTGTCCCCGGGCCGTGGCAGGGCCGTTGGTTTGGGCTAAACCGTCAGACAGAAGCCAGCGCAGGGCAGTGGCCGGCACCGGCTGGTTTGCGGCGGGGGTTTTTTAGCCGCTCCCCCCCCCCCCCCCTCCTCCCCCCGCCTCCCCAGCCGCTCGTCAGCGGGTGGGACGGGGTGGCCCCATCCCTGCTCTGGGGGGTCCCTGTGCAGGGGCTCAGGTGGGATGAGCTGGGACCCGGTGGTTTGCCCCGGGGGACTTTCTGGCTGCAGGTCGGCACCGGTGCCTCACCAGCACCCAGATGCTCTCGCCCCTGCGCCCTGCAGTGAGGCAGCACGCGAGTTACTCGGGGGTTTAGCAGGAATCCTGAACTGAATTCATTTTTTGGGTTGGGCACAGGCCCTTAGACCAACAGATCCAAATGTGTCTCCATGGCGGTGTCCACATGGGAGCCGGTGCCTGCGCTTCCAGCCGGTGCTGCTGGATCCCACCCAGGCTCCGGCTGCTGCTCCGGAGGTGCCGGCTCATCCCCCCGCCACGCCAGGCACCTGTATTCAAACACCTCAGCCCTGGGCACCACAAGCATTTTCTTAAAAATAGTTGCCTAGTGCCAGCCCCAGGGTTGCGAGGGGCCGCAGCTTCCCTGGTCGGAACAAGAGCACCAAAATGATGCACGCGATGGAAGAGATGAGGGTTTTGTTTCCATCTCGTGCTGTGTCAGGGCTGTTCAGGGGCTGGCGGTGCTGAGCTCCGCTGCGGTGCTCTCTGAGCTGCCGGTATCGTTTCTCCGTGCTCCAGCTGCCCGAGTCCTCGTCTCGCCATCCACGGAGGTGCGGGAAGGAGACGACGTCTCCCTGACGTGCCAGGTGGTGGGAGAACCGCAGGACGACACCGTCTACTCCTGGTACAAGAACAGCGAACGGCTCCAGGGGAGCCCCGACAACCTCCTTGCCCTGCCCAGCATCACCAGCGCCGCCGCCGGCTCCTACCACTGCCGAGCCCGCAGCCCCTCGGGGACCAGCGTCTCCCCGGCCGTCGCCCTGCGCGTCTCCTGTGAGTGGGACCCTCCTGGGAATCGAGGTGGGGGAGCGGGACGGTGCCGGGGATGGGATGCTGAGCAAGGTCGCTCGGCCACGCAGGGCTGTGGCTGGCACGTAGCGGGCGCCTTGCACGGCCCTTGCTGCTGGCACTGTCCCCAAACGCTGCGTGTCCCACGTGCAGGAGGAGGCTCGGTTTGAACTGGAGCCCTGCACGCTTTGTAACGAAACATCCTCTGCCCTTGGAGAATGCCCAAGTGGAAAGTTTATGGGAGAATATCTCCCTGATAAACCCTGGTCTGAATTAAAGCCAGTCGAACACCTCCCTTTTCAAGCAGAACTTTCCGATGAGAAGTGCTGTGGCCGCCCTTGTCTCAGCTGGCTGCGTGTTGCGTAAAAAGGGGAAAAAAAAAATGCAATAACAAATATTTTGGTTCTGTTAAAACAGCATGTTTCAGTCGACGTGAAATTATCCACATTTTTGGGATGGAGGGAAAAATCCTGGAAAGGGAAAGTCTGGCTTAGGCTTTTGCTGCAAGCGTGGGCTGCTGCTGCCCCGGCGCTGGGGAGAGGTGCCAGGAGCTGCTGCAAACGCCTCGGGCTGTCGGAGGAGGCTGGGGAGGGCGATGCCACCCAGGAGCCGGGGGGCCCAGGCAGCCCAGCCTCGGGGGGCTCTGGGTGCGGACGCAGGGTTTGCTCACCCTCCGTGTAACGTCTGGCCCGGGCAGATCCGCCGCGGGTGCCGGTGCTGACCTCCCTCCTGGAGACACCCGAGGGGCAGCGGGGCGTCCTGCAGTGCACGGTGGACAGCAGCCCGCCGGCAGAGTTGGCTCTCTTCAAGGACCGGGCGCTGGTGGCCTCCACGGCGCTGCCCCAGCCCACCGCCCCGCCGCGGCTCAGCGTCGCCTCGGCCCTCAACGCGCTGCGGGTCAGCATCCGCCCCGTGCTGCTGGAGGACGAGGGGGAGTATGTGTGCGCCGCCAGCAACGTCTACGGCAACGCCAGCGCCGCGGTGAACTTCACGGCAGGCAGTGAGTGTGTGCGGGCAGGGGATGGGGATGGAGCCGTGCAAGCAGCGGGGGCAGTGATGGAGGCAGGGGGTTTACGGTGAGGAGGGGAAGGCAAGTGCTACTGTAGGATGCTTGTGGGGAAGGGAGGGCAGAGAGAAGCTGGAACAGGGTGGACAGCACAGAAACAGAGAAGAAACTGAGGACGATGCCTGTTTGTGGGGACGGAGGGCTATGCCGGAGGTGTTCCCGGAGAGCTGCACGTATCCCCCCGCACACGGGGAAGGAACTGCAGCTCCTTGCGGAGGTGAGGCAAAGGGCTGGCTCTGCTGCATCCATCCATGGCACGGTCCTGGCTGTGCTGGCAGAGCCGGCGTCACCCTGGGCTGTCCCTGCAGGGGCGGGGGTGTTAGCAGGGATGGGGCTGCAGCATCTTCATCACTTCTTGTCTGGAATGAGGGGAAAAGAGCCCCAAGTTGAAGTCCTGGATGAGACCAGCTCTCCCACCCAGCAGCCCACTGCCCTCCTGCCTAGCCGCCCCTCCATCGCCTCCTGCCCGCCCCGCTCTGCCCGGGCATCACCTCCTTCCCCTTCCCCCACAGCTGCCAGGCTCTGGATCTCCCCCTCCCCGGACGTCTGGGAAGGCGAAGCCGTCAACCTGACCTGTGCGGTCCAGAGCGGTGGCGAGGAAGCCCTGAGCTACACCTGGTACAGGAACAAGGTCTGGTTCAACCGTCCCTCACCTTCCCCAGCGTCACTGCCGCCGACGCCGCCTCCTACCACTGCATGGTGCGGACCCTGGCACGGACCCGCAGCTCTGCCCCCGCCACCCTCAACGTCCTCCGTGAGTTCCTGTGGGCAGGGGGCTTCACCCGCGGCAGGGACCCCGCCGCGCTGCAGGGAGGTCCTTCGGGTGTCACTTGTCCCCTTGGCTGGGAACCCTCCTGGGGGCATGTTCTGGAGTGGGTGGGGGGCAGCAGGACCTACCTTAGTTTTGGGTCTCAAAAAAACCAAAATTAGCTTTTGTCCCAGGTCTTAACCAAGCCGAGCTTTGGCCGGGTCAGACACAGGACCAGGGTTAAACAGCCCCACGTCGTCTGCAGATTTCAGTGACGCTTCTCCAAGCACCCCGAGTTTGTCCCTGTGCTTTGCACCAAACTGAAACAGAAAAAACTTTGGCTTTCAGGAAACGTTGTGGGATTTTTTTTTTTTTTTTCCTGATTTGGAAAATGAAAACCAGACTTTGTTTAAAAAAAGACGTGCAAAAAAAAAAGTGTAGTTGCAAGTCAGAATGTAAGATTTTATTTCCTTTTTATTAGAAAAAGACGGCTTTAACTTATAAATCTGCTGTGAGGAGCAAGTGTGGAGGAGCACTCCTGCAAACGTCCCCCAGAGAGCCGGAGACCCCGGCAGCAAACCCGTTGCTTCTCTCCCCCCTCCTGATTTTGGACGGGGAATGCCGGATGGATGCTGCTAAAAATACCCTGGCATTAAGGGCCCGAGTTGGACCCGCAGCCGTGCTGCCTGTGCACAAGCCTCGCTGTTGAGGTTTGCCGTGCCCCGATGGGCAAAGGGTGGTTTTTTTGGAGGCTGGGGGGGGGGCGGAGCACCCAGCCGGGCCGGGCCACGCTCCCACGCCCGGCCGGAGCTGCCACAACCAACTCGCGAACGAGCTGCAGGTTAGAAATGAGCTCGGCGAATGGCCCTGCGCCGTGGTTTGAGCATCGGTGTGATGGAAGGAGCCCACGGGTGCTGAGGGAAGAGGCAGCGCTGCCTGGGCAGGCACTGTGCTGCAGGCAGCGGAGCCGGGCAGCAGAGCATCACCGCCCCGGCTCGCAGCCCAGCCGGGGCCGGGAGAGCAGCCGGCCCGACCTGAGCGTCGCAGGCTGGGGATGCTCCGACTCGCCGAGACGCTGCTTGTCCTACAGCCCGCCTCTTTTCTCCCCCTTTCCCCCCCGCAGACCCCCCCCGGAACCTGCAGATGAAGGCCTTCGTGGAGAGCGGCGAGGGGATGGCAGTCATCCTCCTCTGCGCTGTTGAGAGCAACCCCCTGTCCGAGATCACCCTGCTCAAGGGGGGGCAGTCGGTGGCCTCCAACCCCCCCGTGGGAGGTGGCCACCCCGGACAGAGCGGCCACATCTCCCTCGCTCCCAACGTGCTGCGGCTGGAGCTTCGGGAGGCCACCGAGGAAGACGAGGGCCGGGCACGCAACCCTCTAGGCAGCGCCCGCGCATCCCTGCCCCTCCATGTGCAGGGTGAGTCCGGCTTCGCCGCGGGTGGGGGGACAAGGGGCTGGGGACGCCCGAGCGGGCTGGTATGGGCACGGAGGGGTATGGCCCAAATCAGTAGCGTTGCCCTGGGGCAGCAGAGCATCAGTGCAGGGCTGGTGGAAGGGCAGGGAGGTGCTGCTGCCCGCTCGGGTGGGCACCCACCCCATGCAGGCACCCCGCTGAAGGGTGACGGTGGCTTTGGAGCCGAGGAGGGCAAACCTTGTGCCGGCGAGGGCCAGCTCCGCTCCTCTCTTCCCCAGCCGTCAGGGTGGTGGTGCGACCCTCCGCCGAGGTGCCCGAGGGGACCGATGTGACGCTGACCTGCCAGGACGCGGGTGCTCGCCCGGGCACCCTCTACACCTGGTACAAGAACGGGCGGTGGCTGGCGGAGGGGCTCGACGCCTCCCTCGTCCTC